GGGTTGAAGTGCCGTCTTTTGTGGAAGAAAGGATCGACAAAAGGGCACGCGAACGCCGATATCTGCTCTCTCTCTCTTTGCTTCGGATTTCAGATCATGCCGCGGAAAATGAATAGGAGCTTTCAGAATGCCTTTTGAATGAAGGAGCCCGGAGAAAACGGGTTGGCATCGCGTCCGGAAACCTGCAAACCGCGGGCGTGGCAACTGATTAAAGGGAATCACTGGCAATTGTCAAAGTTAAACTGCAGAAGCGGCACTGTTGACGCTTAATTGCAAAGAGCAATTGATGACGCTTATATTGACGACGTTCACACTTTTTTGAGGGAACCATCAGGTCTGGAGGACACAGCGCCCAAAGAACGTCGTGTCGCTTGCCCTGTCCTGCAATTGTCTTTGACAATTGCTGGTTACCGTCGTGTTTTCAGCCCGCAAAAGCTTGTGAAGCCGGTTGCATTTTCGGTGAAGTACAGTGCACACCGCCACGTCCCATTTGAAACTTCGTGCGGCGGGACATTTACAAGTCCGGTTTCACCCCTGTTCTCCCATTTATTTGCTGGGATTTGCCAGGAGGAATTACGTTTCTTCGGTGCCCCGACAAAAAAAACACATCGTCGGTCACCTTCCTTTATTCAACCGGGGTTTGACCGAACTTACGCAAACCACGATCCTCTACGTTCTTGCTTTTCGGAATTGGATCGGTAGCGCGGTACAGGAGATATGTACCCCCGCCGAATAAAAGCGGAACGGTACCTATCATTGCTCATGATGGTGCTTGCGCTCGGGCTTACTTAAGACCGCATGATCTTTTCCATTCTTTGAAATGGACGAGTTCGGTCGCCTCTGCGCGAACTGAACGCGTGTAAAGGATTGTGCAAATTGACTCCAACTTGCAAAGTATTGATAGCATTGACCGTAAAAAGAACAGAATATTCACGATATTTGCGCTGATGGAAACAAGAAACGACAACAGAATGCGGGTGTTTCCGAGGAGGTGACTAGGGCTGTGGTTTCGTTTTTTGTGTCCGCTATTTATTGTGCTGAACGCAAACGAACTCAAAATGAATGCTGTGCTAAGCAACAGAAAGAGCCCGGGTTAAACGCGCAGTTCAACCACTCGTAGGGATGCCCTTCCCGTCATTCCGCCGTACATTCACTTTTTCCTCTGTGGTAACTCAGAACTTATAGTCTTCCAGAACCCGCAAATGTGTCCAGATTGCGGGTTTGAAGGAGCAACAGTTGGGGCCAGAATTAGATGGTGCCTGCCTGCCGGGTGGTCGGGATACCGGACGCGTTCTTTGGTTTGCGTCCCGCTGAACCCTTTTTTCCAGGTGCGGCGACTTGAGTCATCTGTTTGGTCTGATTAGGACACTCTGAGTTGGTTGTATTCATTGTGCGTTGTTTTAGCCAATTCCACGGACACAAGACAAAAAAAGATACCTATCGATCCTAACGGCAATAGGCATGGTAAATGCTTCTGGTCGCATTCAATGCCACACAAGCATATTCCGCCCAGTACACATGTGGCAACTGTGCCCCAGAACTCGCTGTATGTGAGGCATCAACGGACGCAAAACCCGCCAGCAAAAAAAAAGTGCGAACCCGCTCTCGCCCTACGATGGCAGCGCTAAGCGTGGTACCGCGCGTATCGCGCTTTGCCAGTCCCAGACGTGTCAGGCTGCGCTTACTGTAAGTGAATGATGCATCGCAGGAAGATAAACCTTCCGGACGACCGAAGGAATAAGAACAGGCCGTCTTGCGTGTCGAGCATCGGTTGCTGCCACGAAGCTGGAAGGCTCACACCAGTTTCGGGTAATTGCACGATGCGCAGGCCAAAGTTATACATCCCAAACGACGGCAAAAAAGAGATACAAGGTCAGCATCGCTGGAAGATACGCGACACAGGCGTTGACCCTTGTCTATACGCTAACACAAACTCTCCCGTGTCCCGCCTTCGCACCGCCTTGAAATGCAGGTGTACGTGGACACGGCATCGCTAAATCAATTTGCGATGGGCTGTTCACACCGTTTTCAATCTTCCAATTATCTTGGTATAAGTTTTTGCCAGAGCAGGCCAGGAAAAAAGTGTTTTCCTAGGCTCACCTAACGCTACATCGAAACGCGCAGTTATTTGAGTGCCGTTTCATCTGAGATCTAAATGGTTTGGAGTGAGGAGCGCGTCACGTCGAATGTGGAACGTGTTTGGCGGGCCAGAAAAAAGCGTTTGAAGAAGAAGAAACATGGAAATGCGCAGTTATTTGAGCGCGCCGTTCACGGTGTGGTCCGCAGGTCGAAAACTTTTAGACAAAGCGACACCTCACAATGTCCAGAATAGAAAGGTCTCATTGGAGCGCCCTTCATGGTGTATTTCACACTACGAACAGTTTTGGACAAAGCAACACTTCATATGGGGTGCATACTGCCCTTTCACACGGTTTTCAATTTGGCGTTTTCCTTCCAGAATTGGTGGATTTTTTTGTTAACGAAACGTTGATCTGACCAGAAAAAAAAGATTTTTTTCGGGCCCGGCAAATGAGACATGGAAACGCGCAGTTATTTCAGCGCCGTTCATGTTGTGTTTCACAGGTCGAATAGTCTTAGACAAAGCGAAGCCTTGCAATGTCTCTTCTTTGGAAATCTCGTAGAACGAGAACAGGTGAAAACGTACGCAGTTACCACCTGCCCGCAACCGTGAGACACCGTATTGCCGTACTGGCGGTACAATACCGTACCGTCAACGCCAATCCCCCTCCGTTAGACAGTTCTTTTTGCCCTCACCATTGTAGTGTGAATACCGTCGTCTCTGCCCGTTTTGGTAACCCTCCAAGCCCCGATATCACCCCAAATCACAGGACTTGTTCATCTCTGGTTTGGGGAGGACAGCTTGACGCTTCTTCCATCACCGCAAAGGGCACTTTTTTTGTAAACCAGGTGGGAGGAAAAAGAGATGGCGTAAAATGCTCGAATATGCCGGGAGGCATTGATGGTCTGCGACATGGCCTGCATAAACATTCGAGTAACTTCAATCAAATAAACCGTTTCGGCCGCAAACAGTGTCCCATCACGCGTCCTGCAACGCGTTCTGCACGGGTGAAATCGATTAGTACCATTCGGTTTGAAGAACGTCCGATAAAACTGTGATGCGGTACTGGTGGGCAAGTCCTTTCCTTCCCTAGTCCCATCGCTTCCCCATGACCGAATTTTTTTCGGGCTTCTTTTGTCTGTTACCATGTCCGCGGAAACATTCAATCATCAGAAAGACCAAAGAAGGGCGGTCATAAAAAAGCGACGAAGCGTGTTGTTCAGTCCGTTCCCCCGCGTTCCGCTATGCAATCTCTGCGTGGTTCGGAAACGTTTGTCCCGCTTGCCTACGAATTACTTTTTGTGACCTTCCAAAAAGTAAAATGGTGGTTGCTTGGAGGGACTAAAAAAATAGAATAATACTGGTGTTGGTTCACCGAGGAACGCACCGGGGGTTAAACCAAGTATTGAGAACGTCCATTTCCGCGCACAGCGTTGCCTTCGAACCATGAATGCATTAGGGCAAACAAAGTTGCCCCAGATTGTGAATCCCGTACGCAAGTACCTGACTTGGGAAAAAAGAAAGGTGGCTGCCTTAAAAACCGCATGGAAACCGTAGCCCCTTCAAGACTGAGTTTGGGGTTTCTCTGAGCAAACATCGCAATGGAAGTCGTCGCTAGGGCCCAATGGTGTCGGACATGATGTTGTACGGTCCGTACCGGTACGGAGGAGTTGAGATTGTAAAATCCCGTACCCGAGTACCTGAAGTGGAAAAAAAGGTGTTTGATAGCCGAATTGAAACTATGGAAACAGTAGCTCCTTCGAGCCTGATTTCAGTGCACCCATTGAGCAGACATCGCCATGAAAATCGTCGCTAGGACCCAAAAGAGTTTCGGAGATGAACTTTCTGTCTTGGCGGTGGTGACCCTTCAAGGGTGGATGAGACGAACCTGGAAAGCCAAAAAAAAAACCCCAGCTCGTCCGAAGGACATTGGGCGACCAATGCGGTACCGGGAGACGCATGCGCGCTCTGCTTGCTTCACGGAAAATTAGACAGACCAAATACGGGCGGTATTTTCGAAGACATGGCTTACCGGTTGGGCCTGTGCAGATGCGTTATTTGAACGTCAAAGAGCACAATAAAAAAAACGGGAGCGAAGCCAGTAAAGTTGGATTCCGATCCCACGCACACTCAAGTTGGGAAAATCAGCAGGAAGTTGTTTGGTGAATAGGGTGGGCCATGGGACATTGGAAGGCAATGGTACGGTTCAACACTGGCGGCTGAAGCAGAACGCTGTTCTGCCTCACTGGTGGTAACCGGGAAGAGACGAATCTCCCAAATGCGCAAAAAGCAGCACGTTAACGGTCGAGTCGCATTCGGGACGCATGCGCGAACTCTTTGTTTCAGAGGAGAATTGTACAGACCACAGACCGGCGGTAATTTTGATAACGCGTTTTGCCTGACATGTGCAGATGTGTCATTTCAACGACGAAGGGCACGATGAAAAAAAAAAGCGGAATTGACCAAGGACGGGTGCGCATTTCAATCTCACGCACAATCAAAGTGCGCAAAAGCAGCACAAATCGTTGTTTGGCAAGTGAGAGTAGCGATGCATCATATGACATTGGAAGTCAATGGCACCAGTCCGCAAAACGGTGGTTGAAGCAAACACGACGGGACGAGCTTTCCCGCCGATGGAACGAACCGCACAACTGCTGCGCGCTTGGTATCCATGAATTTGGTTACCGAATATGAGCCGGTCACGCTTTTTGTCTTTCAACAATCAAGGCGCCTTCTTGGCTCAGATAGCAGAGCGTCTGTCTAAAGTCGCCTTCTTGGCAGAGTGTTAGCCGCGGAAACGTTCTGCCATCAGAGCCAAGGCAGCATGAGTTTGGATACCCCTCCGGGACTATTTGGATACCCAAATAAGTACTTGTGTCTATATAGGATTGCTGCTCCCCCCCACCTTTCAGACAAGGACGCCTTCTTGGCTCAGATGGCAGAGCGTCTGCCTAGTAAGCAGAAGGTCGAGAGTTCGATTCTCTCAGAAGGCATTCGTAATGATAGGCTGGTCCTCTTTTGCCGTTCCTTCTTTTTTGCCATGTACCCGACCGTTCCGTTAGGTCGCCGGTTCGTAGTGTTCGTTGTGTCTTCTCCACCTTGGACGCGGGTAAGAGGGGGGCAGCATTCTGCAAACGGAGCTGGCAACAAAGGAAGCCACCGCGGGTATGCGACGTCTGGGAAGAGACGTCTATTCTTCTGCGCGGGGTCGCACACACCCACACACGGACACTTTCCGCATGAGCTTTGGACAAAAAGGACGGCTGGACGGAACAAAGAGAAGGTTGGTCGAAGGGAACGCAAACTTAGTCTAGCTCACTTTCCGAATGGGACAAAAAGGAACGGTCGGCTTCGGTCTCTGTGCCTCCATGATTTTTGGGGGTGGCTGAAATTAAAACGCGTCTCCACAAGTCAATTGACCAGTTGACTGGCGATGCTTCAGGTCGGACTTTTCGGATCCCCGCAAGGAGAAGTTAGCAGCAGTCGAGACTAGACGAAAGAAAGTGGGAAGCGGTGGAATGTGGGACTGTGGGAATGTGATCGAAAGAATTAGCAACAGACGGCCGGGGGGATCGAGTGTCGGTGTCATTTTATGGTTCTCGTTAGTTGCCTCCATTGGTGGTGGGGAAAGCAGCCACTCGGTGGGAATAAAGAACAAACAGCCAGTTGAAATGTGGGAAATGACCCCATCGACGTCAAATCCTAAACTAACGGTTTTTGTTAAATTCGACCGTCTTCCCGCCCTCTACCCTCCTTTTCGGCACTCCTCATCCTCCCATCCCGCCCAACTATTAACAAAACCACCCACTGAACCCAATGGGCGCCCTATTAACATTCAGCATAGTTTTCACCATCCTCGGCATCCTCATCGCCGCCGCAACTACTTATGTCCAACTCAAATCCCTCCTGCTCCATGCTTCACCACGTCCGCGCCTCATCAAACTCATCGCTGCCTGCTCGACCTGCGTGTTTGTCACCATATCGTTGACGATTCCGTCGACGTTGGTTAGTTTGCCAGAGTGGGATGTGAGGACGAGTGAGGGCCAGTGGGCCGTTGCGGCGTATGTGGTGGATATGATCTTTTATTTCGTCTCTGGTAAGTTTTGCGCGTGCGAAGCGATGTGCTCTGGTGGGATTGGTCAACTTGAGGTTGGACTCGAGGGTGAGCAAAGGCGAACCTCGAGTCTAACTTCAAGTTAGCCACGGATTTGCACCAGCAAAGCCGAATGGTTTGCGAAGCATTCGGCTTCGCGAAGCAAATCGGACCTTGTTTACACTTCTCCACACCCACGGACGAAGCAAATCGGACCTTGTTTACACATACCGCTTTCGCTTGCCTAATTCCCCCATTATGACGTCCTAACCACACCGTTACCTCCACAAACAGCATTCCTCTACTGCATAATCCTCCTAGACCGTTTCAACCTCTTCCGATTCATGCTCCGGTACCCCTCCTGGCTCACCCCCCTCCTCTTCAACCTCGCCGCCTTCCTCTTCACCGTCGGGTTCGCAGCAAACATCACCAACATCTTCTACGAAAAAGAGAAATGGGCCGTCGCGCTTTCGATTTTGTCCGTCTCGGGTTTTGTCCAGGTCGCGGTGATGGATATCATCATGGGACCCATCATGGTGAATAAAGTGTTGAAGAATTTGAAGGATATGGAGGAGTTGGGGGTTAGGAGGGCGGAACGGACTGTTACGGGGAGTAGTGTTACGAGGGTGTCGGGGTCCGGGTCGAAATTGTATAGTCCGACTTCTACGTCGTTCCAGCCGCGGCATTCGGTTATGACGATTGTTGAAGAAGGTCGGCCCCGCGTGAACGAAACACCACGTATTGATGCGCGATGGCGGTTCATCCTTCTTTTCACTGTGTCCATGACGCTGGACGTCCTCGCGTTTGCAATGTTTGGGTTCCGGTTCCTCTTGCCGGAGAATAAGGTTGAGGTCAAGATGTTGATGGCTACGTTGGCGAGTTTGCAGTAAGTATATTTGCCCCTCTTCCACTCAACCCCGCCTGGTTGTGTCCGCGTGTCTGATTTTGTTGCAGTGTTACGGCAGGTTTCTACTTCCTCAAAGAACTCAAGACGACCGTCGTTCGTTAACCCTCCTCGTCCTCCCCATCCCGTCCCGTTGATCGGGCACATCCCTCTCTTTATTTGTTAAACGTTAATTTTCTGTACAAAAAACACGCGGTGTGCATACCCCGCCCCAGAACCTATGAAATGAGTCTATGTTCGGTGATGTGTTATCGGGGCTTTATATTTGTGTATGTGTGCCGGGTTTTCCGGATGCTGTACTATTTCAACCGTAAGCGTAACCGATATTTTTTTGGGTTTGCTCTCATCCGCGATGCGCGTGGGGCCATATACCTCCACTCCGCCCATTCCATGGAGAAAAAAAGAAGGACATATGTAAACGGAGCAACGCATGTTATGGCGAGTGGTTTTGAACCCCGCCACAGACTTATCACCCTAACCTGACGCGGGCGCGGGGGCGATCTTGCGCTTTGAACTGGAATGCCATAGAATGTAGTCGTGTATAAGTTCCGGATTTGTCTGATAATCTATGTTCGAGTTTGGACGGCGTGAGAGTGGAATGTGTGTGTCTGCCGGGTTTCCCCACCAAAGGACGCTGTAACACGCCTAACAAAGACCGTAACCGGGGCGTCCGCGCTGCATATGGGGACGTATCGTTTTCCACTCATGCTGAAAAAAAAAGGAAGGAGACTCACTAAACATCAGATATGTTATGGCAAGCGGTTCTGCCAAGAGACACGTGGTGCACCACCCCACGCTCAAACTATGGGGTTTGCTATACCATTTCCCACCCTTTCCTTCGCTTACGGGGGCTCCCACTCCGATGACGCTAGGAAAAAGAAGCAAGTATGTCAGGGGTGGGGGCTTCGCCCATGGTTATGGCAAAGAGGTTTTGATCCCCCGCCAAGCGCCTGATCACACCAACCCCATACACTTAACAGTGGAATGCCATAAACGGTGGGGTGTGAGTACCTTGTCCCAACACTTCTTCGCTTTGTGCGTCTTCTTTCCGCGCGATTGGGCCGTATTCCTCTAGGCAGCGCGACCGTAACCGTTTGGGCGTTGTTTTGTGGGTTCTCTGCTATACGCCCGTATCCCTCCACTCCACCCATGTCAGAAAAAAGGAAAAATCCATGACCCTTACCCACATATGATGGCGAGTGGTTTTGATCCCGCGCCAAGAAAGACATGGTACACCAACCCCCACGCTTCGTTAGTGTACGCCCAGCAGTGGAATATTACAGAACAGTGTTGGCCACATAGTTCCCTTGTCCGGAACCAGAAAAAACACCCACATACACAAATAAACACATCTTTTTAGAGAGGATCGGCACCTCTCCGCCCGGCAAGGAAGAACGTTTGTACCCCACTGCCTGATTACGGCCCATCCCAAGGATGTATGAAAAAGGATGACAGACGCATGGTATGGCAAGCGGTTTTGAAGGAACTTGGTACACCAACCCACACTCAAAGAGGATCGCTGCATGCAGCACTGTGAGGTGCATTTCCTCGCTTCTGTGTGGGCCCACACATCTCATTTGTCTAGAACGAAAAAAAAGCATGCGCAAATGCCGCAACATCGTTTAGGAGAGGGTTGGACATCTCCCATGCAACGCGAGCCAGGAATGGTATATGGGTCACAGGATGACGGCTTGCAGACTGAACATCTCATTTCTCCGGTGACTATTGGAAATTGGACTCCAATCCGCATCTGTACGTAACGGTACATTTGCGTTTTGGGACTTTGTATCAAGCGGTAACGCAGGGAGATCCACGTACGCCGCATTGACACTTAGGATGACATCTGGTCGGTTTTTTTGGGGGGAGAGAACGACAGTCAAGTGGGGAAAAAAGTCAGGAAAGGACGCAGAGTGTTCTTGGGGGGTTTTGATACATCCAAGCACGCTGTACTGCCACCGAGACGTCGACTGCGCATGCACCCAGCCAGGACGGTCGGGCGTTGGAAACATGCTGCGTGGAAAGCGGGGAACACTTTATTGAGCCCCGCTGGAAACGACCACCTCATCTCACGCACATTGGTGAAAAATGTTGCCCCACACGTACCTGACGTGTGAAATGATGAGGCCCAGGGCAACGAGCGAACAAGCGTTGATGCGGGTTATTCACAGGGATTTCCAACCTATGTAACTTGTGCTGCGTTGCACGGAATCCTTTTTTTGGTTCAAAGCGCATCTCAGCAACACAAAAGGGTATCACCAATTCATAACGGTAACCGTATTCATGACGTTTTGTGGGTCTTCTTATCCGCCCTGTATCTCTCCACCCATTCCATGCCAGAAGACAAGAAGGACGTAAAAAAGAATTTCATATCACGTCAAGATGTTATGGCGAAGAGGTATTGACACCTGCCAACAGACTCATCACACCACCCCGATGCGGGACCTTACGCTCAAAATTGGAATGATGTAAGATGTGGGGTGCATGTACCAACGTTTTCTTCGGTTTTGTGTGGACCAAAAAAATACTCCTACGGTAACAACGATGACATCGCTTAGGAGAGGGTTGACACCTCCCATGGCCGGCAATTCGGTGCCCAGCAACGAAGGAACGTTTGAATTGTGCCTGCAGTCTCGTCATTTACCGGGTTTCTGGGTGGGTAGCAGACAAACGGAACTCAATCATCGCCTAGAAGGGAGGATACTGTTCGTTAACGAAGTAACGAGCATCCCCGTACTGCGTCGTAGCAAACATCCGTGGTCACTGTGTCCATGGCGCTGCGTTAGCTGCTGGTCGGTTTTTTTCCTTCTTTCGGTCAAGCTTGTAAAGGACTTGGAGAACAGACTTACCGCCAAGAACGCCGTACTCCCAACAAGATTTGGACTGCGCGCGCGCGCACACACACATCCAAACGGTGCGCGGGCGTGAAGTGTATGTAGAGTGCTGAGTGGTGTGTGCCGTCTTCCCCCCACCAACGGACCTGGTACACCAACCAGAAT